AAGCTTTAAATGTTTATGATATAAAAAACAGTTGCGGTATGTGAAATTTATTATGCAAATAACATAGTAAAAGAAGAAAAGAAATATAATACAATTTTAATAATACAATTATAGTCGATGACAGTAAACAAAAAAGATGCCATGAGGCGAGCGATGTTTTGTCCGATATTATATAAGAATTTTGTGAAAAGAATGAAGTGAAATGCACGTCGTTGCTTGCAAAATAAAGTATAATAAAAGCAAAGCCGCAAAATCATTTTCCCGGCCGCCACCCACTCTATTTAAACAAGAACAAAGAAGAATATTCGGCGCAGACGCTGGCACCGAATGACGCCAGCCGAATGTAGATTCGAATCGATATTTCGAAAATAGATAATGTATGTCAGCCAACTTTTTTAACACGAGTTAATATAAAATATCTTCTCGCTAGATATTTGCTTTTTTTCGAGAAAGCATGGAAGCATACTGTAATTTTCACAATTCATAACAACATTTTATTATAATTCGCGAAATTCGATTATCGATATTATGACGAATATTTCATAATATTCAGTATTTTTCGTATAAACTTTTGTTTTTTATATCACGACAATTATTTCAAGATTGTAAAAAAATTCGGTCTCTTTCCGAGAATGTAAATTCCCCGCGAAACAGGAGAAAAAAAGTTCAATATTCCTGCATTGTAAATTAGTTTTTATAACGTAGACGCTCTAACTTTATCCAGAATAAAAACAATATTGCAAGAAACAGTTGCAGTTCAGCAGTTATCGAAAACCAGAGGTTAACTTTTCTTGCCGCGTGACATTTCATATAAAGAACTTTAACTTCTTTAACTTTTTCTTCAAAAAAGCTTTGCTTTCAAAGAACCGCCAATCCTATTTATTTTGACATCCATAGAATACGAGCATCAAACACAAGCTTGTAATCGAACGGGGAAAGAACAGTTAAACGCAATATGCTTATTTGATAATAGGTAAAAAACTTTTATTCAAGAGTATCAATTTCGCTTAATCACCTTAAATCATCACTGAATTAAAATAAATCGCTTTGTCGATATGTTTTTAATAACAAGCAATTAATTTGATACCGCATCGTTTTCATATGAATCATTTAGTTAGATATCCATAAATTAATTTGCGCATGTTTCGTTAAAAGCGAATAAAAAGCCACAGTCCAAGCTGCGAAGCCATTGTTTGCAATAAATCAAGTGAAAAGAAGAATAAAATTGTGGAAGCGCTATTATCATTGATATTACGTTAATGAGAAAACCCGCATTATTTATCGAGTTCGATAACGATTCTCTAATCACTCTAATGGATTATCGAAGAAAAAGGCACGAAAAAACTGAAAATGAAACGGTATCATTCATTGAATAATTGTAAGTAAATTCATTCAGATTGTTTACATAACATTTCATTAATGATGAAATGCGGAAAGAGAGAAGTGCGTTTCGTACAAAAATTTAGATAATAATTACGAATGATAAGAGTCAAATAATATAAATTGCTGCAACTATTAGCGATATATACAATATTACAAAATAAAATAATAATAAAATAATAAAATAATATTTTGCATTGTAACATAAGAATAATTAACTAATTCCATCATGAAAATTATATCTCAATGTTATTTCGTATGCATGAAATATTTAAAAACAAAGCATAACTAATACTATTACTTGAACTGTACTTTTTAATCAATACTCTCATAAGCATAATATGATTTAACAAATGCAGTCAATGAAGGAGAGCACGGAAACGGCGATACTTCCCTATTCTTGGATTACTGTTTGCCAAGCATTCTTCAGGCGTTATCCGAATCCTTACGCGACTCACGTTTTATCGGAGGATACTCTGTATCATGAAGTTGACGGTACTAGTCTCTTCAGCACGCGGATTTTCCGCAAAAGAGCTACCGCCTCGTTACCGAGCTGGTCTCAGAAGCTAGTGAACAATCCGCAGGTTTCTTCGCGTACATTTAAAAATCTTTTACGTGAATATACTCTTTATGGGGGAAATATTAGTCTTCGCAATTTCTAATATTGTATTTCTAATATCAATATTCAAGATGATTAAATGATGTAGGAAAATGGCGTATTGAAACCCTTAAGCCGATGATATGCACATTTCGTAACTCGCAAGATATAAAACACAACCTTTCTTGATCGATCAGTGCTTTTATCGCCGCCGTATCAAGCATCCGTTCCACGGCAGCAACAAAAGTACGTTCGAGGAGAGGCCATTTACAATGAATTTACGACCTACGGTAGGTGCTGATCCTCGAGGAAAGCGTCGTCGATCTCGGCGCGAAACGACTGGTCTCGTTAACCAGAAACATCGACCACAAAAAGTTGGTAGTCGCCACGGAAACGATCGAATATATACCCAGTCGCGGCGATCCCGATAAAACTCTGATGACTCGTCGTACCAGCATCCGATCGCCTCTCGGTGGTCTCACGGCTCGTATGATCGAGAGGGTCTGTCACGCGCGAACAATCAGAAACGTCAAGAGAACATTGCAGGTAAAGAGAGAGAAAGAGAGAGAGAGAGAAAAGGTTCGATTTCGACAAGCTAGACGAGAAACCTTATTTCTGCGTCGAATTGAATCATCCCTACGAGAGTGCAGAATGCGATCGAGGATGGAATGGAGATGGGATATACTCGGCTTTTACGTGAGATGCAGCAATATAGCAGACCGAGCTGGCAAAAAGAACGCGATGCCGTATATCATTCAGCAGCTAATGTATAAGCACCCTCCCTCTCCGCGATATACATTAATTAATTACATCGAGATGATAAAAGTATCGGAGTTGATTTATTCGTGTAATATATTTATATTATTTCTGCGTCGAATTGAATCATCCCTACGAGAGTGCAGAATGCGATCGAGGATGGAATGGAGATGGGATATACTCGGCTTTTACGTGAGATGCAGCAATATAGCAGACCGAGCTGGCAAAAAGAACGTGATGCCGTATATCATTCAGCAGCTAATGTATAGGCACCCTCCCTCTCCGCGATATACATTAATTAACAATTACATCGAGATGATAAAAGTATCGGAGTTGATTTATTCGTGTAATATATTTATACGCCGCGAAATATGAATTACTTGTCCTAAATACATTTTAACAGAAATTATGTAATACATCAATCGATTCGTCAGAGATTACGTCTTTCACACTCCGGAACCATTATTTCACTCGTTCGTCTATCCATCCGTCTTTCTCGTCCGTTCCATCGTCGATTGCTACTACTTCAATCATGATCAACGCGTCATACGTGAATATCGGTAGAAGTATCGATGATACACAAGCCGATAAAATTACTCTATATGAAACTACACGCTTTGACGATACAATAAAATTTTCACTGTCGACTTCTACCTTTGCGCTATCTTTTCATTCTATTACGTACGTGAACGAAATATATAAATGAGTCATAAAATTCACTATTCACATATTGTACATATGTGCGTCGTGCTCTGATATCCTGACGTATTAATTATTAAATGTAGCGTTTATTATTAATCGCGTGTGATTTTATTATAAAATGTATATAAAGTATTTCAATAAAAATGACTAATATGCAGTAAATAAAAGCGTCATGTCAAAACAACAGAGCACGCTTTCACAGTTACATTTTTCAGATCGTATCCGATTTGTACAATGTATGCGGTAGCACCACGAATTATTCATAAGTTCCTTTCGGCGCTCGAATGAAATATACTGCAATGCACTCAAATATTGTTACATAGGTAGTATGAGCATCACCTATTTATCATAATTTGCAGAAGTTATGCGGCAAGTTTCTTCACTCGTTAAAAAAAAAAAAATTACTCTAAATAAACTAAAGGGAAAACTCATTTGCATATTGAGTGTATCTATTATCACGACTGTATCAGCAATAACATCTTTAAATATCTTTAAATATTCCGCTTTCCCAAACCAAAATTTAATAAAAATGGGATATCGCTATTTTTACTTTTTTATTCTTTTTATTTTTGTAAGAAAACCAATACTCTATTTTTATTAAATTTTTATTTGGAAAAACGTTATTTTTGAAATTTGACCAAAGTGTCAAATAAAAAGGTTTCTTGTTTTGACGTGCTGAATTACTTTTCAGTTTGAACATGTAGATCTGGGACACCTTGTATAACATATCATCAACAAGATCAATATATAAAGAGATTTGATATAAGTATAATATTATTGATATAAGTATAAAATAGTCGATACAAAAATCAGAAACGATGCGTGAATATAATAGAATCAGAATACAATAGAACATCTCAAAAGAAAAAGAAGGGAGTGAAACAGAATGAGAGAGGGTACGTCGCATGAAAAGGATTCCAGGCTCGCTAGACCAACGAGTCCGTAAACGCAGTTGACGTCGCAAGAATCTATACCCTCTATCCCTACTCTAGACGAGAAACCTTATTTCTGCGTCGAATTGAATCATCCCTACGAGAGTGCAGAATGCGATCGAGGATGGAATGGAGATGGGATATACTCGGCTTTTACGTGAGATGCAGCAATATAGCAGACCGAGCTGGCAAAAAGAACGTGATGCCGTATATCATTCAGCAGCTAATGTATAAGCACCCTCCCTCTCCGCGATATACATTAATTAATTACATCGAGATGATAAAAGTATCGGAGTTGATTTATTCGTGTAATATATTTATACGCCGCGAAATATGAATTACTTGTCCTAAATACATTTTAACAGAAATTATGTAATACATCAATCGATTCGTCAGAGATTACGTCTTTCACACTCCGGAACCATTATTTCACTCGTTCGTCTATCCATCCGTCTTTCTCGTCCGTTCCATCGTCGATTGCTACTACTTCAATCATGATCAACGCGTCATACGTGAATATCGATAAAAGTATCGATGATAAACAAGCCGATAAAATTACTCTATATGAAACTACACGCTTTGACGATACAATAAAATTTTCACTGTCGACTTCTACCTTCGCGCTATCTTTTCATTCTATTACCTACGTGAACGAAATATAAATGAGTCATAAAATTCACTATTCACATATTGTACATATGTGCGTCGTGCTCTGATATTAAAATATATGTTCCTACATGTATATTCAGAGTCATTTATCTATATATGCATTAATCACAAAAGTAATACATAACATCTGATTTGATTCACATAAACACTTCTGTATGTCAATATGTTTAGCGTATAAGTAATAGCAAAAGAAATATTATTTTTCTAATAAAATTCCTAATTTTGGTAAAACTGTATAAAAGGTAACATACCTTCGATTTAATCGCTACTTAAATATGTTGTAGGGGAGGTTTTTCTGAGTAATTCCCTGCAAGAAATAAGTAGGGGACCGGCATTAATTTAGGTTTAGGAGATATAACAAATTAAAATTTCACAGTTTTAATGCTTTTTCTCAGGTATTATAAAGTAATATTAGGAAAAATGAAGTTTGTTTACGTTGTATTTGTGTAGAGCAGACATGGAAAAAGAGGCTTCGCCCCTCCCCCGCCCATGTATTCAATAAATAATATTTTTGAAGACATGAAGAAATTCATGTAGTCACACGTTGAAAGCTGTTAACGAACTGCGAGAAATAGGTGAAACACATTATTGACAAAATATCCATGAATGTATACCTATCCCGTAAATGTAAACAAACACTTTTTCCATGTCTGCTCTATACAAATATAACGTAAACAAACTTCACTTTTCCTAATATTACTTTATAATACCTGAGAAAAAGTTAAAACCGTGAAATTTCAATTTGTTATATCTCCTAAACTAATGCTGTCCCCCACTTATTTCTTGCGGGGAATTACTCAGAAAAACCTCCCCTACAACATATTTAAGCGATTAAATCGGAGGTGTGTTACTTTTTACGCAGTTTTATTCTAATTTTCTCAAAAAAA